CCACTGCGCCCTTCACATCCCCCACCTCCCACTGCGTCCTTCACATCCCCCATCTCCACTGTGCCCTTCACATCCCCCACCTCCCCCTGCACCCTTCACATCCCCCACCTCCCACTGCGCCCTTCACATCCCCCACCTCCTCCTGCACCCTTCACCTCCCCCATCTCCACTGCACCCTTCACATCCCCCACCTCCCACTGCACCCCATCTCCACTAGGCCCTTCACATCCCCCACCTCCCACTGCGTCCTTCACATCCCCCACCTCCACTGCACCCTTCACATCCCCCACCTCCCACTGCGCCCTTCACATCCCCCACCTCCCACTGCGCCCTTCACATCCCCCACCTCCCACTGCGCCCTTCACATCCCCCATCTCCACTGCGCCCTTCACATCCCCCACCTCCACTGTGCCCTTCACATCCCCCACCTCCCACTGAGCCCTTCACATCCCCCACTTCCCACTGGGCCCTTCATATCCCCCATCTCAACTGCACCCTTCACATACCCCATCTCCTGCTGCAGTCAATGACATATCCCACCTTCCAATGCACCCTTTCCATTCTTCATTTTTCACTGCAGCCATTACATACCCCATCTTTTACTGCAGCCTTCACATACCCCACCCCATCCTCTTGGGCCTCCTGGGTACTCCTTGAATATCTCAAGGCTATTTTTATCTCGGGCCTTTAGCTGCTGTTTTGTTTTGTTTTGTTTTGTTTTGTTTTTCTTAACTTGCTTGTTGTTCTAATCTTTGCATGAATCACTTCTTTGCATTTACTATTCAGCTTTTTTTTCTCGGTTTTACTTAATCATATGAGCTAAAATAGGCAACCCCCTCTATCACATCTTCCTGTTTTATTTTCTTCATATCACTTAATCTAAAATATTTTTAAACTTCTTTACTATTTCATATAATCTGTCACTTTCTACTAAAAATTATCTATATCATTAGCATGTAAAAGACAGCACCAGGATAGCTGAATAGATGAGTGAATAGATCAGTGATTGGGTTAGTAAAAGGGTGGATGGATGGATGGAGGGATGGATAAATGGATGGATAATAGATGGATAGAAGGATGGGTTACCGCATGGATGGAGGGATAAGTGGATGGATGGGTGGATGGATGGATGGATGGATGGATGATATTTGAGTTGGTAGATAGATGTTTGGATAGATGTGTAGATAGAAGGATTGGTGAGGGGGGGAGGATGAAGTGGATGGATGTGTCAATAGGTGGAGAGCAGGATAGGTGGATGAGTGATGGAAGGCTCAATGGAGAGATGGATGAAAGGATGGATGGATGGGCAAATGTGTGAAAAGTGAGTGGATGAATGGGCATGTGTGGGAAGATAGGTAGATGGAGGAATGGGTGAATGAGTGGATGGGATGATGGGTGGAGAAGAAAGGTTAGTGATAGATGGAGGGAGAATGGATAGGACAGTTCATGAAAGGATAAGTTGGTCAGTGAATAGTTGCTAAGTCCCAATAAATGAGTCATGTGTTGGTGGGAGTTGCCTCTGGTAGAGTAAGAGGTGTGATCTATTGCTATGAGAGAGGTAGAAGGAATAGGATGACTATGTGCAAAGGTTTGAGTAAAAGAAGAGAAGCTTATCAAGGATGGGTAGCAGAGTGAAGCAGCGTTTAAAGCTCAGCAGTTCTGAGAAAACCTACGTTTGGGGGATTGTGGTTAGCAGTCAGGCAGAGTAGGGGCTCAGAGTAGCCTGAGCTTTCTTAGTTAACCTACAGGGCATGTCACTGACCTCCCCCTTATCTCTGCAGTGCAACTGTCACCACCCTTCTATCTCCAGGAGGGCAAGGTGGGCCTCATTGAGAACGCACTCTGTAATACCTTATATGGGCAAAGAACTGGCCAAGGTGAGACCTACGCTGTGCATGAGGAGATGCTGTGTGTGGGGGACTTCTCGACAGGAAAGTCCATCTGCAAAGTGAGTAAGGTCATTTCCACCCTTCCTTTGCATATTCTCTTGGCCTCAGTTTCCCTTGGGACGGGTCTCTGTGTTGCCTCTGCTCTCTTTGTGGAGTCCCGTGGACTTCCTGTTTCCTCTCCTCTGCGTGTCCTCCTGGGCTCCATCCCTTAGAAGTCTCCCTTAGACTAGCCCCTTCCCCAGCCCATCCCAGCAGGGACATCTGCTGGAAGGATCCTCAAACAGCATTTTTAAATATATTTTAAACTTTTCATTAAAGCATAATATATATACACGAGAGTACATAATTAATAATATATAGTACATAATATATAGTTTGATGAACTTTCCTACACTGACACATGTGACCAGCACCCTAGAAGCACCCATGTGCCTCCTTATCACTAACACCCAAGGGTAACCAACACCTTCACTTTTAACACCTTGTATTCTGAACTTCCTGTAAGTGGAATTTACAGTCAGCACTCTTTCGTGTTGTAACAGTGTATTTCTGAGATTCGTCCATACTATACACGTTGTTACGGTGTGTTCCTTCTCATTGCTCTATAGCGTGCTGTTGTGTGAACTGAATTCTACATTGGATAATGTGAGTAGTTTCCAAGTTGGAGGTATTATGAGTAGCTGTGCTATGTGCATATTTGTATTTGTCTTTGGGGGCACAGAGGAATATATTTTATTACATAGAAGCCCATGAGTAGAGTTGCTACATAAAAAGGTGTGTCTGTGTGTTCAGCTGTGGCAGAGGATGGCAAACAGCCTTCCCTCTAGCAGAGGATGAGAGCTTCTTTTTTCACCAACATTTATTCCTTTTCATCTTTTCTGATTTTGGCCATTTTGGTGAGTGTGTAGTGGTTTTTGGCTTAAAATTTTTTGTATGTTTATTATTATTAGATATCTTCTATGAAGTTTCCCTTCAAGTCCTTTTTCTCCTCTCATTTTTCTGTTGGGTTGTCTGTCTTTTTCTTCTAGGAGCTCTTTATATATTCTGTACATAAGTTCATTGAATTGAGGCCCAGGGAAGAAAAGTGGTTAGTCTAAGTGAGGCAGCACAGCCTGGGCCCAGGTGTTGTGACTCCAAGGCCAACCCTGCCTCCACAACCTCTCCCACAGGTTGTAGCCTCCTGAGCTGACATCTGTGGGCTGAGCTTTTGCATAGACACCACTGTGGGGCAGACAGGAAAGCGCCGGGACCCTGGAATGAGAGACATTGCTTCACCACATGTGCCTGCCCTGTGACCTGGGATATTCTCTTCACCTCCTGAGCCTGGGTCCTCATCAGCTGTGTGAGGATTCCAAGGCCTCCTCCATGAGGTGGTTGGAAGGATAGCGTCCACTTGGAACCTCAGAGTGTGACCTTGTTTGGAAATAGGATCTTTACGGATGTAATTAGTTAAGAATCTCAAGGTGAACCCATCCTGGATTTAGGGTGGGCCCTAAATTCAATGACTGGTGTCCTTAAAAGAGGGGGAGAGGCCATAGAGACACACATGGAGAAGATGTGCGGACAGACGTGGAGAGGGCAGGGATGCCACCACGAGCCAAGGAATGCCTGTGCTGCCAGAGGCCGGAACAGCCAAGGGAGAGTCCTCCCCTAGAGCCTTTGGAGGTAGTGTGTCCCTGGAAGCACGCTGACTTCAGATTTGTGGCCTCCAGAACTGTGAGAGAATACATTTCTGTTGCTTCTAAGCCACCAAGGTGGTGGCAGTGTGTTATGGCAAGCCCTTGGAAATGAATATGCTTGTCTAAGGCCACAATGCTAGCAAAACTATAGATTGAAAACTAGCACCAGGTCTCTCCTGCCTCCTAGTCTGAGCCCTGAATCCCCCGGCCCATGGGAAGGGTTCATTGGCAGCACTGTTTTCGATATTGCCAGGCAGGCTAGCTGAGTAGTGGGAGGAAGCTCGGCCCATCTGCCTGCCCAGCGGGAGCCGGCTCCAGGCTTCTTGGTTTCCTGTCCACGTCCACATACTTTATTGTTCCTCCTTTCTGGCTGTGGCCTGGCCCCTTCTCCTCACAGAGTCATCTGTACCCCAGGGGGAGCAGGGAGCCTGCCCAATGCCCAGCCCTGGTGGAGCTCAGCCAACAAGTCCTTAGTCCAGATCCCTTCCAGCTTTGTTCTCCATCAGCCTCTCTTGCGAAGGCCGTGTCCCTGGAGCCTCAGGGCCAGCACACTTTGCCTGCCTGCTGGACATCCCACAGTGCCCTCTAGTTCCTTGCCCAGCCTGAGAACACCACTGAGGTGGACATCTCCTGAGCCTTTCAGCCACCACTGCCTGTCTGTGAGATTCCATCAGGATTCATCTCCTGCTGAGTCGTCTGCTGTGGTCCCCGCCTCCATCCCGTGGCTCTCTTCTCTTCCCTGCATGGAGCACGCAAAAACAGCTTTGAGGAGAGACAGAGCTGCAGGGTGACTCAGTGCTCAGACTGTGGACAGGACAGAACTGGTTGCAGTCTTCACTCTGTCACTTGCATGTGCTGTGACCTTAGCCGAGTTTTCTCACCTGTGCAGTGGGCGTGCTAACAGCCTCCACTTCATAAGGTTCCTGTAGAAAATGTAGCACCATGCCTGGCATTAAGCAGGTGCTTAATAAGTGTTGGCTTCCATGTTCTTGGCCTTGCCTGTTTTCCTCTATCTAAGTTGCACTCATTCTTCTGGGCCTATCTTAGACCCACCCTTTCACTCAATGTGGAATTCACCACCAGGCCCACCAAGTTACACGTGGCTTCCTCTGTCTCCACAGTAGTCATTAATGTTGGGACTTCCTCTGCCTACTCAGAGCTCCCAGGGGTCAGGGCCAGGAGACCCTTGGAGTCCTTCCCATCTCTCCCAGACTGGCCCAGAATCAAGCGTGATGTTGGCAAGCAGGTGGTTCACCTGCATGGATCGCTGAGGCCTGGAGTAGCCAGGGACCATTGTCTGGAGGGCCAGGCCTCCTCTTGCCCTGAAACAAGCTGGGTGGGTACTCCGAGGAGGGAAGCACTGAGGGCGGATCTGAGACAGCGAAGGCACTTTCCACTCCCAAGAAGACCCCGGGCATGAATTTGCCAGGGCTGCAGGAGCAAATCCCCACCAACTGGGCAGCTGAGACCACAGATGTCTATTGTCTTGCAGTTCTAGAGGTCAAAGGTCTAAAATCAAGGTGTCAGCAGGGTTGAGTTCTCTTCTGGAGGCTCTAGAGGAGATTCAATTTCCTTTTCCAACTTCTAGAGGCCGCCCGCACTCCTGGGCTCGTGGTCTCTTTCTCCATCTTCAAAGCTGTCAGTGTGACCTCTGTGTCTGTTGTCATATCTCCTTCTCTGACTCTGACCCTCCTGCCTCCTGCCTTCCCTTATAAAGAACTTTGTGATGATGTTGGGCCTTTTGAGACACTCCAGAATAATCTCCCATCTCGAGTCTTCACTCCAGCTGCAAAGTCCCCTATGCCATGTAAGATAACACAGTCACAGGTTCCAGGGATGAGAATGTGGATGTCTTTGAGAGCATTCTTTAGTGACGGCACCATGTCACCCCTCTCTCTCCCCTGGCCTCCACTCCCCCAGCCCAGGCCCCTCCCTGTCAGTGTGCTGTCTTGCTTCTCATCAAATGGAGAAGATGAAGCAATGAGAAGCTCGCTCCTCTTGGCCCCACATCTGCCCACCCCGATCTGCCCAGTCTCTCCCCCTTGCCCTGATGGCTCACCCTGGGCCAGCCCATCCTTGAGCATTGGGTCGCTAGGGCCTTTCCCCTGCTCCTGTGTCCCCTGCTCTCCCTCTCATGCCTCCCACGTCAAGGCATGGCAAAAATCTCCCCCAGCTACTGCCCATTTCTCCACCTTTCTTCCCTGAAGACTCCTCCCAGGGCTGACTGCACTGAATCACCCAATCCAGGCTTGTCCCTCTCATGCCACCAGAGCCACTTTGTCTGCAGCCTCTGCCTTGCCAGAGTCACTGCTCCCTTGACGGATCAGATTGCGCTCAGCTCCTGCTGCCAGGCCCCAGCCACTCCACTCCCACTTTTTGCTACCAGCTGCCTCTGGGGAGATAGCAGACTGGAGGCCCCCCGGAATCACCCTGAGCACAAAGAAAGAGGAGTTAGCTTCGGGGGCGGGGGCTGAGTGTGTCTGAGACACCAGGTGGCACGGTCGGACGCTCTGTGCCTCTGCTCTCTGAGTCAGGGTCCCACTGCAGACCCACCAGATAGAAATCTCCAGGCATCAAGCTCCTGAGCTGACCCTCAGAGTGGATAATTATGGATCTGAATCTATCACACGTGGACCCACCCTCTGCACTCTACCCCTGGGACAACCCAGTGCTTGAAGCCTAGGGGGGACAGCTGTATGTACAGGGCCTGAGGGGGGCTGGGCCTCCCAGCCTCTCAGTGCTGGAGACCCCAGAGCTGAGTTCTCAGCCTTCTTCCTTTTGTCTCCACACCTTTTCCCTGTTGTGAGAAAAGGCCAGAGTCCACAAGTCCTTTGGCTCCTCCTTCAAAATGCCATCCCAAATCTGATCATTTCTTCCTTCCTGTAGTTGCCTCCCTGGTCCCTCCTCTCTACCTAGTGCTCAGCAACTATTCTTTCTCTACATGGCACCAGACTGATGGTTTAAACAGGTGCTGTGTCCCCCACCCTCCAACATACAGTTCTCCAAGCTGCCTCTCTGTGGCTCTGGGACCTCCCTCTGCCCGCTCGCTCCCTACCGCAAGGCTTGCCCCGTCCTCTCCTGATTTATACCAACTGGGCCCTCTCTTCTGGACCTCACAGAGTGGGTTCTGTTTCCTACTTTCAGTGTAAGCTCAGGAAAGCTTTTTGTGATCCATGGATATGAAATGTCCTCCCACTTCCATAGGGTCGGTTGGCTTATTTATCTAAGCACCATGGGGAGGGGGTTTGTCTTCTCCCCGTGTTTCCCAAGAGCAGTGCCTGCACTGGATGCCCCAGATGCACACTGGACTAATGGGTGGAAGAGCCGGCTGTGGGCCCTGCCTCCCACCACCCTGAAGATGAGACCCTTTCCCCTTCCCCTTCCCCTTCCCCTTGCCCTTTTTCTTTTTCTTTTCTTCTTTCTTCTTTCTTCTTCTTTCTTCTTTCTTTCTCTCTTTCTTTCTCTCTTTCTTTCTTTCTCTCTCTTTCCTCCCTTCCTTCCTTTCTCTTTCTTTCTTTCTTTTCTTTCTTTCTTTCTTTCTTTCTTTCTTTCTTTCTTTCTTTCTTTCTTTCTTTCTTTCTTTCTTTCTTTTCTTTTCTTTCCTTTTCTTTCTTTCTTTCTTTCTTTCTTTCTTTCTTTCTTTCTTTCTTTCTTTCTTTCTTTCTTTCTTCTCTTTCTCTCTTTCTCTCTTTCTCTCTTTCTCTCTTTCTCTTTCTTTCTTTCAGAGTCTCGCTCTGTTGCCAGGCTGGAGTGCAGTGGCATGTTCTTGGCTCACTGGAACCTCTGCCTCCTCGGTTCAAGCAATTCTCCTGCCTCAGCCTCCCGAGTAGCTGGGAGTACAGGCACATGCCACCACGCCCAGCTAATTTTTGTATTTTTAGTAGAGACAAGGTTTCACCATGTTGGCCAGGATGGTCTCGATCTCTTGACCTCGTGATCCGCCTGTCTCGGCCTCCCAAAGTTCTGGGATTACAGGCGTGAACTACCATGCCTGGATGAGACCCTTTCTTTGGGTCTCACTTTTTGGCCCATGATATAGGGGGCTTTCAACTGCATGATCTCACCCTGACAGCATTTCAGGACTCCAGTAACTCCCAGCAACTTTCTGGAGACCACTGCCTGCTTCCCTAGTGCTGTGGACTATCTCCACGGGGCCTGGGCATGGGCACTTTCTAAAGATACTTTACCAAAAAGTTGAGAGAAAACCAAAGGCCCAAATGAACAAAAAAAGGAAGGGGGCCCCGGAGGGGATGCTCTGCTGCAGCTTAGGGTTCACAGGAGCTGTGCTCTGCGCAGAGCTTTCAGCTGGCTGCGCTTTGCCAGCAGACTCGGCCCCTCAGGCCCTGTACATACAGCTGTCCCCTCTAGGCTTCAAGCAGTGTGTTGTTCCGGGTGTAGAGGGCAGAGGGTGGGTTCACATGCTAATAGATTCAGATCCGTGATTGTCCTGAGGGTCGGCTCAGGAGCTTGATGCCTGGAGATTTCTATCTGGTGGGTCTGCAGCGGGACCCTGACTCAGAGAGCGGACGCAGAGCGTCCGACTGTGCCACCCGGTGTCTCAGACACACTCAGCCCCCAAAGCTGACTCTTCTTTCTTTGTCCGCAGGGTGATTCCGGGGGGCCTCTAGTCTGCTACCTCCCCAGTGCCTGGGTCCTGGTTGGGCTGGCCAGCTGGGGCCTGGACTGCTGGCATCCTGCCTACCCCAGCATCTTCACCAGGGTCACCTACTTCACCAACTGGATCGACGAAGTCATGAGGCTCACCCCTCTTCCTGACCCCACGTTGGCTCCTCACACCCGCTCTCCACCCAAGCCTCTGAGGGCTGCTGGCCTGCCTGGGCCCTGCGCAGCCCTTGTGCTGCCACAGACCTGGCTCCTGCTGCCACTCACCCTCAGGGCCCCATGGCAGACCCTGTGATGACCACAGAGCCCCTTGACCCCTTCTCTCTGCTTAGGCCTGGGTGTCCATGCTGGACCCTCCCTCTCCCCAGCCCACTGTCCCTCTAAATGGTTCCTAATCCTGGCTTTTCTGTCTGTCAACTGCCATTCCCCAAATCAAGCTTGGCAACACAAAACCAAACCCAATAAAAGTCATCTGCTCCTCCTCCACCCCGCACCGCCGTCCCAGGCCCCTCCTTCTCCTTAGTGCTTGCCTTTTCCATAGGATTCATCGTCTGACTCCCAGGGCAGAAACCTGCGACCTCACAGAGAGAATCTCAACTGTGGGCTCCTAGGAGGAAAGCAGGGGTGGGGGGGACACTAGGGATGCTGAGGGAGCTGAGGCCACCAGCTGGGAGGGAAGGGGTCAGTCTGCATTCACACTGCTCCTGCCCCAGGAAGCACCCAGGCCTTCAGAGGGGCTGAAACTACACCTGGTGTCCACAGTGCCAGGGAGCAAGGGCTTCTCTGAAGCAGAGGAACAGTGCTCCTGGGGCATGGAGGGGGAGGTTCGACTCCCAGTGGAGACAGGAAAGGGAAGTGGCTGGTGCACCAAGTAATGGAGCAGGACTGAGGAGCAGGATCCCAGCCAGGAGAAGAGGGTTCCAGCCTGCAGCTAGAGTGCTTTCAAAACATGAGGGTCTGGGAACGACTGACAGAAGCAGATGGAAAAGGGTTCCGATGCCAGGCCAAAAGCCGAGGTCTAGGTCAGCCGTGCTCAGAGCTCTGCTCCTAGGAACAATTCCTGCTCCTCCTCACCTGTCCCATAGGCCCTGCTTTCCCCACATCTGCAGGCACCTGACCCACTGCCCATCTCCCCAGCCCCCAGTCCTGCATAAACCTGCTCCCTCCTGTCCAAGGCCCTTGGTGAACCCTGCCCCAGAAAGTCTGCACTCCTCCAGGCGGTAGAGCCTGGTGTTACCTTATTTACTTAACTAACCCAGGATTCAGTGCCCCAGCAATAAGCCTCAAAATAGTGTCCTAGGCCGTCCGTCCTGCAAGCCTGCTGGACACAGCCCTGTGCAGCCAGCAGGACTCCTAGAGGTCTCAGCACAGCCTACCCCCAGTCTTCAGAAACCACAAGAAAACGGGAGAGCTCCCATTTAGCACATGTCCATGTGGACAAGGCACCATCCAAAAGGTCCAGTGCACATTGTCCCCAGTCTTGGTATTGGCCACATTTCCTGTACCCTCACAGGCAAGGGGCACAGATGGACTCACACACACGTCAACACCAGGATCTCACTGGCTTAAACCCTCTATTACTCATGCAGGAACTCTCATCCCAAAATAATATTATAAGGCCTGAAGAAAGTGTCTGCAAAGTATCCACTCCTGTAGGGGCATTTCCAGCAGTCCCTGCCTCTGATCAGAGTTCCACCACTGAGGTACTGCTATGCCTAGCAATATGTCCACTAATAGCGTCCAGCCTCAGAGCTCAGCGGTCTCCGGAAGTGGCAGAGAAAGTGCTGCCTCCCCTGGTGGTAAGCTCAGTTATGGGGTCTCACAGCAGGGCTGCTCAGGACTCTGAGAGGTCAGTGAGTTACCAAGACAGCATGTGCTCCACGCATGTTCTCCACGAGGCTGGGGGAGCTTGGGCAGTTCTGTTTAGAGTATTAGCCACTCCACTGGCCCCAGAGCCACTAATCTCCTCCTTTGTGGCAGCTGCAGGCTGGCTGTGTCCTGAGGGCCTGCCTGTTACACACCTCATTCCAGGGGTTAGGTGATTTCCTGTCCTCCCGGATGCTTTCAGGCCTCTAAACCGAAGGAGGGAGATACATACCTAGTCCACACGACAGATCAACCAAGTCTCCGTTCCCACACAGTTAGTTTCCCTATTACTTGAAACCAACATAAGTGCTCAGTATCGTTATCCTGGTTTAGTTTCTTTGTAAAGATAAACTCCAGCCTGTAGGGGTTGAGTAGCTTTTTTTTTTTTTTGAGATGGAGTCCCGCTCTGTTGCCGAGGTTGGAGTTCAGTGGCGCCATCTCCGCTCACTGCAAGCTCCGCCTCCCGGGTTTACGCCATTCTCCTGCCTCAGCCTCCCGAGTAGCTGGGACTACAGGCGCCTGCCACCACGCCCGGCTAATTTTTTGTATTTTTAGAAAAGACGGGGTTTCACCATGTTAGCCAGGATAGTCTCGATCTCCTGACCTCATGATCTGCCCACCTCCACCTCCCAAAGTGCTGGGAATACAGGCGTGAGCCACCGCGCCTGGCCAGGGTTGAGTGGCTTTTTAAAGATATCATGAGTGGTATGTAGTGAAACAGAAATTGAAACTCAGATCTCTCTTGAGAGAGCTCAAACACTGTTCTTTCCAGTCCCACAGACTGCACCCAAGACGCCTGTTATCCAAGCCTCAGACACCTGAGGGAGGCTTACTCTGACCTGTCCACAAAGTGAGCCTCAGATATCCACTCCCGAAGAGAGAGACTGGAGTGGGGCATGGAGGGGCCCTAGAGGCATGATCAGGGCCACCCTCTTTTCCCAGATGGTGCCCTGGCATGGGCTGCTACTTTTGTTGCCAAAGTCATCCCCAGACAAGCTATGGGAGGGAAATGAAATGAACCAAGATCAATGAACGACTTGAGTATAAGAAGCTTGGAAGTCATCACTCCCACTCTCAAACCAAGAAAAAAAAAAGCTGAATAAACTGAAAATCAACAACTCTTCTTAGATCCGTCAGAGAATTGAGGTCACAGGGCAAACTATGATCCTCAAAACTGGAGACAGGCAGATACAGAGAATCACAGTTAATCTGAAGGGAAGCTGAGATGTAAAAGCTGGCCATCGGAGCCAATGCTGGGGTAGGAAAACCTAAAAACTGTAATTGTCAAAGTGCTGAAGGTTCAACGTGGATGAGCTTGACAGTTAAAAACTCCACATCCAGTCTTAGGACAGCTCAACTTTCAGGAGTTTTACCTTCAGTAGCCTTACCAGATTCTCAGGGTGTAGATCAGAGAAAAATCCCCTCCTGATTTTGACAGGACGATGGGAAAAGTAACCATTTTGAAATAAGAGCAGAACATTAGTTCTACTTTCCTAAAGCCTATCCTTAAGAGAAACTATTTTTAGCAGAGCCTAATGTATTGGGGTTTTATCCGAGCCTAACTGACTTGGGGAAAGAGACGTGTTAAACTCCAGTTCCCTGTGCCTTCCTGTCCCACCAGGGACACGGGCTACTGAGAAGCACGTGTGCAGGTCACAGCCTGGGAGCATAGGCTCACTGTGCACTGTGCCTGGGACCTAATCACAGGACTATGGAACATTTCTTCTCCCATATAAGCACCTCACCACCACGTCAGTAGGACTTTTGTATAATAAGGGAATTATAATGGAAGGAATTGACTGTCTCAGCACTTATTTAATAAGGAGTCTCTAGGGAAACTCAAAGACAACAGGGGAGATACTAACAAGGATACAAGAGTAAATTTTGCCTCTGACACCTACAGCAACACCAAACAGTAAAGACAGTCTAACTACCAGCTAGATAAACACAGAGCCTTACACAAACGACCTCTTTACCTCTGTTCCTTTTGCCCAGTGTATCATGTCTCGCTTTCAACCCAAAAAAGGGAACTAAAAGGTACTAAAAGTGTACTAAAGTGTACAGTTAAATCTATGATTCATTTGTTTAGTTATTTTATATAGGTTCTTCAAATATCATTGCAGTAAACTTTTTATTGATATTAGTTAACTTGTGTATTTGTTAGAAATACAATTCCTTTTTCCATTATAGTGCTTTTCTACTTTTGTGAAATATCAGTTTTTTGTTTTTGTGTGTGTCAGTTTCTGCACTCTTTTACCCTGTTCATTGAATGATATATCTGTTCTTCCACAGTACCACACTGTCTTATACTATAGCTTTATGGCAAGTCTTAATATCCTCCAACTTTATTCTGTCTTCCCAAAATTGTTTTAGCTATTCTAATTTCTTTACCTTTCCATACACATTTTGGAATAAGCTTCTCTATATTGAAAAAAACAAATGTTGTTGGGAGTTGATGTTTCACAATACTGAGTCTTCCAATCTATGAAAGTAGTATGTCTCTCCACTGATTTAGGTCTTGTTTGGTTCCTTTCATTAGAATTATCTTGCTTTCATCACACTAAAATTTACATCCAAAATATTTCAATTTGGGGGAACTGTTGTGTATGACATTGTTTTTAGTTTTTGTTTCAAGTTGTTCATTGTTAGTATTTGGAAATATGATTCATGTTTGTATATTGCTCTTGTATCCTTAGACTTTGATAAAGTAATATATCATCATTTATTAAGAGTTTTCTTGCAGATTCCTTGATATTTTCTATATAGGCAATCATGTCATCCATCAATATTAATGGTAATATTTCTTCTTTTCTAACCTGTATGTCTTCATTTCCATTTCTTGTCATACTGCACTGGTTAGGACCTACAGTCCTAAGTTGAAAAGAAGATGAGAAAGGACCTTCTGGCCTCATTTTAGAACTTAGGAGAAAAGCATTAATTCTTTCACCATTAAGCATGATGTTAGCTTTTAGTTTTTTGTAGGTGTTCTTTATTAGGTTGAGGTTGTGAGCTTCTATTCTTAGTCTGCTAAAAATTTTTAACATAAGTCATGTTGAATTTTGCCAAATGCTTTTTCCGCCTTAATTGATGTGACCATTTTTGTTTTCTCCTTTAAATTGTTAATATAGTGGATTACACTGATAATTTTTGAGTATTGAACCAGCCTTACGTTTCTGGAAAAAATTCTTCTTGGTTATAGTGTTTTATTATTTCCTTCCTTCTTCATGGTTCTGTTTTATTTCGCCCTTTTTAGAGAGGTTTCTTTATGTGAAAGTGTATATTATTGATTTTAGACCCTTTGTTTTTTCAAATATAAGCATTCAATGCCATTTAATTTTCCACTAGCAATGCTTTATCAGGATCTTATCACATTTTATATATTTTATTTTTATATTCAGTTCTATGCCTTTTTAAATTTTCCTCAGAACTTCCTCTTTATTAATTTAAAAATGTGCATTTTTTGTTGTTGTTGTTGAGACAGAGTCTCGCTCTGTTGCCCAGGCTGGAGTGCAGTGGCACGATCTTGGCTCACTGCAAGCTCCGCCTCCTAGGTTTAAGTGATTCTCCTACCTCAGCCTCCCAAGTAGCTGGGATTACAGGTGCGTGGCACCATGCCTGCCTAATTTTTGTATTTTTAGTGGAGACGTGGTTTCTCCATGTTGGCCAGGCTGTTCTCAAACTCCTGACTTGGTGATCCACCTGCCTTGGCCTCCCAAAGTGCTGGGATTACAGTCGTGAGCCACTGTGTCCAGCCTAAAAATGTACATTTTAATTTCCAAGTGTTTGCACGTGTTCTTCTTATCATTTTCATTTTATATACTTTAAAGTTTATACTGTGAACATATTCAAGTAAAATTCAATTACGTTTTTATGTTTGTTCAGTTATTTTATATAGGTTCTTCAAATATCATTGCAGTAAACTTTTTCAAATATTTTATGTAGTGGTTCTCAGTGTTTTGCATCAATAAGGAATGCCCTGAAAATATGATCGCCCCGTACTCCCCCACCCTGCCCGCCCTGAGGTTACTGGAGATGTGTTTATCAGGAGAAGCTCATAGAGACAGGAATCATATGAAATTTCTTTCTGGTGTTTTGTTTTGTTTTGTTTTGTTTTGTTTTGAGACAGAGTTTTGCTCTTGTCTCGCTTAGGCTGGAGTGCAATGACACGATCTCGGCTCACCACAACCTCCGCCTCCGAGGTTCAAGTGGTTCTCCTGCCTCAGCCTCCTGAGTAGCTAGCTGGGATTACAGGCATCCGCTACCATGCTTGGCTAATTTTGTATTTTTAGTAGAGACGGGATTTCACCATGTTGATCAGGCTGGTCTCGAACCCCCAACCTCAGTTGATCTGCCCACTTCGGCCTCTCAAAGTGCTGGGATTACAGGTGTGAGCCACTGCGCCCAGCTGAATCATGTGAACTTTCTAAGTCCCCAGGGCACATAGCCTTCTGGGCCAGCATATAGACATCTGGCAGGGATCCAGGGTGCAGGAGTTAGATGCAATCCTTGAGCTCTAGTACCTTTATACTGCATGATCACAGAAGATCAGACCATGTGTGGGCAGGGACTAGGACCAGCACTGTGATAGGTAGGGCCCAGGCCCAGCCCTTCTCCATCAAATGAGCACTCAAGGTGAGGGGAGCACCAGCCTTTCCTCTGCTGTGGTCAGGGCTGAAGTTCATGCTTCCGGTTGTAGGGGCTGAGTCACTCAGCAGCACTCACTCAGCTTTGGCCTGAAGCCTGATTTTGTAAATAAAATGTTAATGGAGGAGATCAGATGCCTACAGTGTCATATTGCTGGAGATGTGAGTAACCGATGAAGATCAACATATTTTGGTTCATTTAGATGATTGACTTAACAGAGAGCTTCCATACCCTCTCAAGGCCTGCATTTTAATCTATTTAACGTTTTTTTTTTTTATGCCAGGGTGTGACATTTTCTTTGTTATAGAGAAATTCTTTTTAAAAAAAGAATGCACAGGGAGTTAATATGAAATATTGTGTTCTCACCAAGTGAAGGCCAAAAGATTTCATTACAGGATGTACAAAGGAAGCCTCTGTGTAACTTACATAGGGACAAGTGGTGGAAGCATCCAGTTACTGCAAAGCATGGCGCCAACAGGCGGATCTCAGGAGAGTCTGCACGTGGGCAGGGAGCTCCATTTTCTCACTGTGGAGGGGAGTGACCGTTCTGCCTTTGTTCCATTACATTAAAATTGTCATTTGAATTTTATGAGGTCCCTACATTTGTTGATCTGCAAGTTTCTTTCGGTTTCATTGTTGCAAGATATCTATATGCCTACATTCTTTATATCTAGTTTTCAGGTTACATATAATTAATATATATAATATTTAATAAAAAATTAAAATATATAATATATATATTATAAAATATATAGACACATGAGCAGAGGCAGAGCAACAAAAATAAGGTTTTAATACACACAATCAGGAGAGAGAAGGGCCCATCAAAGTAAATGGGCAAGGGGAAGACGGGCACCTGTAAAGAGCAGCGGGCATCCTGCCAGTTCAAAGAATAGAGACCTGGCTGGGGACTCGGGTCAGCCAGATTAACAGTCAAGCCGGGGAGGGCACAGCTGATGATGACAGAAGCTGGCTGCTGCTTCTGTCCACAGGGGAGTGTCTTAAATACACTGTGGTTCTGATTGGGCTCATCAGTCCCACACCCTCCAACACACACACACAGGCACACACACACAGGCACACACACACAGACATACACACACTTTGAGGTTTTGGGCCTCTGGCTTCTATAAGGAGAGAGCAGCTTAAATTTAACTTCAAGGGACTGAGCCCCTTCCTCCAGGAGGAATGTCCATTCATGGGGACCATATGTGGAGGGAGACTTGCTTCTTATTTGTTCCCCATCGTACCACCTGTGTGTACCAGTGGGCCTCAGGTGCTCTTTCTGAATGAGAACCCTAATTGTGTCCAGTCGCAGGAGTTGTGGTGCCGTCCCTACCATCTGTTCTGGGGGAGGATGTTGCAGAGGTGCGGCTCCCTAAACTGGAGGTGCCTGGAGGAGCCCTGATGGGAAGGCTCGGAAAAACAGGGGCACTGGGGACACAGGCTTTTCATTGCTGCCCATCAGGGGGCCCCAAGTGTGGGCCGAGAGCTGGGGCTGGAGAATATGAATGTAGCCAGGCAGACGGAGGCCGATGTCTTTCCAGGGTGCCTCTACTGTGCATTTAATTTGGGAAATTAAGAGACTACTCACTCTGGAGCTTGGTGAAGATCTGAAAGCCACAGCGTTAGTAGCGGGGGTCATGTCCATAGCAAAGAGCTGAGGGCCTAAAGGGGGCTGCAAGGTCAGGTGGTCAGATGCCCTTGCTGTGATGGTGGAAATGGCTGCTGTGGAATTCAACAGCTGATGGGTGATAGTAGGGATCCCGGTGGAAGGGGCTGGAAGAGGAGTAGGGGAAGAGAGAGGAGGAGAGGAATGCACACATATGGGTGTAGGAGGCTACCTTCTGAAGGGAGGCTGGAAGGAGAAAGATGCGGGGCTAGGAGGTATTGGGCAGGGGTGAGAGGTCAGAGGCACTGAAACTGTAGCTGAATGAGAGCAGCCTCCTTTCTCATAAGGCCGAACCCCCAAAATGGGGGTAAGGTCAGCAGGAGGAGCCAGGGGGAGAGTTAGGAATTATGGCTATCAAATTTTACTCAATTCTTGGTGTGGGCAAAGGTGGAGGGACAGGCAGGGTGAGGGACCCAGCAGCCACGTGGGTCAAGTCAGAGGTAGGAGGAGGAGCCGGGATCTGTGAAGTGTAGGTGGCCAAGGGTAGGGAGTCTCAGCAGGTGTGGAGACAGCAGGGGCAGGCTGGGTGGCACTGCAGTTTCCCATGTCTTACTATTTTTTTTTTTTTTTTTTGAGACGGAATCTCGCTTTGTCGCCAAGCTGGAGTGCAGTGGTGCAATCTCGGCTCACTGCAACCTCCGCCTCCCAGGTTCAAGCCATTCTCCTGCCTCAGCCTCCCAAGTAACTGGGACTACAGGCGCCCGCCGCCACGCCTGGCAAATTTTTGCATTTTCAGTGGAGAAGGTGTTTCACCGTGTTGTCCAGGACCGTCTCCATCTGTCTGTTTCCTTGTTGTCGTTTTTTATTATTTTTTATTTTTTAATTAAAAAGTAAACTTGAGCTGGGTGTGGTGGCTCAAGCCTGTAATCCCAGCACTTTGGGAGACCGAGGTGGGCAGATCACAAGGTCAGGAGTTTGAGACTAGCCTGACCAACATGGTGAAACTGCTCTCTACTAAAAGTACCAAAAAAAAAAAAAAAAATTAGCCTGGCATGGTGGTGTGTGCCCACGAGCCAGTACTCAGGAGGCTAAGGCAAGAGAATCTCTTGAACCACCGTGGCGGAGCTTGCAGTGAGCCGTGATCACGCCACTGGTACTCCAGCCCCGGGCGACAGAGCAAGACTCCGTCTAAAAATAAATAAATAAATAAATAATAAAGTAAATAATAATAAAGTTGATATGTAACTTAATGTTCGAAAATGCAACTTGGGAAGGGCAGAAATATCAGCCACCACAAGGATGTCACTTCCACACTTGGCGGTTTGCCAGCAGCAGGGGCAGAGAGGCCCCACTTCCCGGACGGTGGTTGTGGGTTGGGCAGAGGCGCTCCTCCTCCTCAAGCACGTGTTAGTGGCCAGGCCAGAGCCACTCCTCACCTTCCCAGCACGGGGGTTGGTACCAGGCAGGAGCCGCTCCTCCCTTCCCATGACGGGGTTAGTGGCAGGCACGAGCCGCTCTCACCTCCCAGACAGATTAGGGCCGGCAGGGCAACTCCTCACCTCCAGACTGGTTTATGCCAGGCAGAGCAGCTCCCCACCTCCCCAGACGGTTATGGGCCAGGCTCAGAGGCGCTCCACACCTCAGACGGCTTAGTGGCCAGGCAGAGGCGGCTCCTCAACCCTCCCAGACGGTTAGTTGCCGGCAGGAGGCTGCTCCTCACCCTCCCAGACGGTTATGGCCAGGCAGAGGCCGCTCCACCACCTCCCAGACGGGTTAGTGGCCAGGCAAGAGGCGCTCCACACCTCCCAGATGGTTTAGTGGCCAGGCAGAGGCGCTCCAACCTCCAGATGGGTAGTGGCCCAGCGCAGAGGCGCTCCTCACCTCCCAGACGGGTTAGTGCCAGGCCAGGGGCGTCCTCACCTCCCAGCCGGCGTTGGTGGCCAGGGCAGAGGCTTCCTCAACTCCCAGAGTGTGAGAGCGGCCAAGCAGAGATGGCCCTCACTTCCCATACATAGTGGGGTTAGGGGCTGGCGCTGGGCAAGGCGCTCCTCGACCCCACTCCCAGATTGTGAGGTCGCCAGCAGAGGATGCTCCTTCACTTCCCTACCAGTGGGGTGGGGTGGTGGGGGGCGCTTGGGCAGGAGGCGTCCTCACCTCCCAGGGACGGGTTGGTGGCCAGGGCAGAGTGCTCCTCACCTCCCAGACTGTGAGGTGGCCAAGCAGAGGGATGCTCCTTCACTTTCGCATACAGGGGGTAGGGGTGTGACGCATGGGCAGAGGCGGCTCCCACCTCCCGGACGGGATTGGTGGCCAGGCAGGGCGCTCCTACCTCCCAGATTGTGAAGATGGCCCAAGCAGAGATGTCACTGCCACTTCCGCATACAGATGGGGTGATGGGGTTGGTGCTGGGCAGAGGTTGCTCTCACCTCCCAGGACAAGTTGTGGGCCAGGGCAGAGGCACTCCTCACCTCCCAGACGGGTTGGTGGCCAAGCAGAGATGCTCCTCACTTCACATACAGTGGGGTTGGTGGGGGTGGCGCTGGGCAGAGGCGCTCCTCACCCTCCAGACAGGTTGGTGGCCAGGCAGAGGCACTCCTCACCTCCCAGATTGTGAGGTGGCTGAGCAGAGATGCTCCTCACTTCCCATACAGTGGGGTGGGGGGGTGGCGCTGGGCAGAGGCGCTCCTCACCTCCCAGACGGGTTGGTGGCCAGGCAGAGGAGACCGCCTCCTCACCCTCCCAGAACGGGTTGGTGTGAGACGCAGGCAGTAGGTATGGCCTCCCTCACCCTCCCAGAAATTGTGAGGCTCGCCGGCAAGTCAGAGATACCGCCTCCTCAGCTTCATTCCCATTCAACACGTTGGGGTGGGGTGGTGGTCGCTTGGCAATAGGCGCTCCGCGTGCACCCACCCTTCCCAAGACGGGTTGTGGTGGCCAGGCAGAGTGCTGACCATCCACAACCTCCCAGACTGCTGAGGGTGGACTCAAATGCAAGAGATTGTCTCTCTTCACATTCGCATACATGTGGGGTGTAGGTTGGGGTCGCGCTGGTCAGAGGCGACTTCCTCATCCTAACCGGATTATTTCTTCGGTATTGGTTATGGCCAGGGCATGAGTAGGTGCGTGCCTTAAAACTACCTCTCCTAAGATTGTGAGATTGGCTCAAGCAGGAGATTGTCCTCTCTTTCACTATCAACAATACAAGAAGTGGGGTGATGGGGGTGGTGCTCGCAGCAAAGAGAGAGGTTTGCTCGCTCACCCCCAAAACCTCCAGACAAGCTTGTGGCCCAGCGCATGACATGGCAGCAACTTCCTCAAAACTTCCCGAGACGCGGTCTGGTGGCCAAGGCAGAGAATGCCTCCTGCACACTTCATCAATACATGTGGTGCGTTGGTGGCAGAGGTGGCGCTTGGGCCCAGAGGCCGCTCCTTTCAACCCTCGACAGACAGGTTGGTGGCTTCAGCGCAGAAGCGCTGGCACGGATCCCTTCACCTCATTCCATCCAGATTGTGAGGTGGCTGAAGCAGAGGATGCTCGCCTCCACTTCTCTACCATAGCCTCAGTGGGGTGGGGGGTGTGGCCGGCTGGGCTGACAGAGGCGACATCCCTCCATACCTTGCCCCAGGAACTACACGGCCACCCCACACCCCAGACCGGGTTAACGTGGCCAGGCAGAAGGCGCTACTGCCTCAAACCTCGTCACCAGCCACCGGCGGTTGGTGGCACAGACAGCCATGCCAGGGCCCGCTCTCCTCACTCGCGTCCTTCTTTCAATTCCAGCTTACGGGTTTGTCCGCTCGGCCAGGTCAAGTAGCGCGCTTTGTCCCTGCAAACCCTCCAAGGTTCATGTCTTCCGACCATCGGCGTTCTATTTGGTGGCCAGGCAGCAAGGCGCAGGTCCTCCACCCCAGCCACGGCTGGTCTTCTCTCCGAGATTTGTTGAACAGGCGTGGCCAATGCCAGAGATTGCCCTAAGCGCCTCACTCTTCCAACACGGGATAAAAGTCCCTTCACCATACAGTGGGAGTGGGGGGTGCGCTGGGGGGCAGAGGCGCTCCTCCGCCACCTCTCCACGATTCGTCGAGGTGGCACCCAACGCAGGATCGCTCCGCCACTTGCCATCACAAGTGTCGGGGTTGGCGGGGTCGGCGCTAGGCAGCGCAGGCTGGCTTCCGCCTTCACCAACCTCCCAGGCACGGTCCTTGGT